GACGAAAAAATAGCAAAAAAATATAAGTTGCCACACTGGAAAGTTAGATTAATGGCAGAGGCAAAAAATGACATGCATTATACCGAAGCCTCTTAACCAGGCAAGAAAATGAATAATAAAATCCCAAAACATTTCTACAACCGAAAAAAAAACACATAACGAAAAAAAGAAAGGTAAAGTACTCATACCACAGTATCAAAAAAAAAAAAAAAATAAATAAATAAAAAAAAAAAAAATAAATAAATAAAAAAAAATCCCCCCCCCAAAAAAGGAATACAAATGAAATCAATAAATATATGAAAAAACGAACAAACATAACAGCTGTTTTAAACACGCGGTCGCGTCGAAATCGTCGTTACCGCAGCCATGCCATTCCCGACGTCGAAATGGCCATAACGTGAGAGTAAAACGATCATTATGACATAGCAGGCGGTCGTTAAACGCACTCTCGGAATGACTGATTTTGTTATTGTTCTTTCCGCATGGGTTTATACATCCATACATATATACATTTACATATATACTTACATTCATACATACTTACTTACTTGCATATATAATCATATACCTATATACTTACATAGATATTGATATATTTACTTGTATATATAATCACATACCTATATACTTACATAGATACATACCTTTCATACATACTACGATAGGTACATTACACTATACATACATATATGCATCCATCCATCCATACATACATACATTCATAAATGCAAACATACATTTTATATACTTAATTACATACATACATGCACATATATTTGTGTGTGTGTGTGTGTGTGTGTCTGGTGGTGGGGGGGGCGAGGCTGCATTTATGTAACTTACATGCACACACAGACACACACACACACACACACACACACACACACACACACACACACACACACACACACACACACACACACACATGCATGAAATAGCCCAACATTGTGCTATGCTTTGATATGTTTTTTGTTTTTTTCCAGATCATATTACGGCTTTGTTTTCCGGTTCAAAGGGGTGGCTGTGGGTAAGAGGGGGAGGGGAGGGGGGGGGGTAGATGCATGGCAGTTTGGTGACTATTAAAACGTTTGGGTTGTTGTTGTTGTTATTATTCTGTCTATTTCCCTGTCTCTCCCATACTCTGTCTGATTATCTGCCTCTCTCTCTCTCTCTTATACTTCTGATATATATGCGTATACACACACACACAGACACACACACACACACACACACACACACACACACAGACACACACACACACACACACACACACACACACACACACACACACAACACACACACACACACACACACACACACACATACATACATGCGTGTGTGTCTATATATCCATCATACAAAATATATTCCTGCATCCAAGGGTCTCCTCCTATTCCTGCCTCCTGCGTTATCAGCACACGCCATTCTCCTCCCTTCCGTAATCCTCTCCTACGCTTCCTTTATCCTTTCGCTTGTCATCTTCCTCCATTCTTAGCCTCTTCCTCCTCCTCCTCTTTTTCCTTTTTCGCTTTCCCTACTACGCTTTCTCATCTTTTTCATCTCTTTCGCTATACTTCTATCCTTCTTTTTTTTCTTTTTATCTGCTTTATGTTTCTTTCTTCCTTACTTCCTTCTTTTTTGTTTCTCTTTATGTCTTATTCCTTTCTTCCTTCTTTTCTTTCTTTTTATCTTCTGTATGTCTTATTCTTTTCTTCCTTACTTCCTTTTTGTCTTCTTTCTTTCTTCCTTACTTCCTTCTTCTCTTCTTTCTTTTTGTCTTCTTTATGTCTTATTCCTTTTTTCCTTACTTCCCTTTTCTCTTCTTTGTCTTATTCTTTTCTTCCTTACTTCCTTCTTTTCTTTTTGTCTTCTTTATGTCTTATTCCTTCCTTCGTTCCTCTTCCTCGTCTTATTTCTCCTCTTTATCTATCTCCCCGTTCTCTTTCTCCTCCTCCTCCTTTATCTCTCGCCCACGCCATTATTTTCTCTCTTATCTCTATCCGCTCCCTTCTTTCTTTTTATCTTCCTTTTTACTTCATTTCCCCCTTTCTTACTTGCTGTTCTTCCTTATCTTTCTCTTATTCTTCTATTTATCTTACATTTCTGTTCTTTTTGGTTGCTATGTTTCGCTTTTCCCTTTATTTATCTTTCATCCAATGCTTCCTCTCCCTCTCTTCTTTTCTCACTAGTCTCCTTTTCTTCCTCCTCTCATCCCTTCTTACTCCTCCTCCCTCTCTCTTCACATCCTCCTTTCCCCCTTTTCCTCAGTTTTCTCATATTTCTTCCATCCTCCTCCTCTTTCTCCACCTTTCCCCTTTCCTTCCCTCACCTCCTCTTTCTCCTCCTCCTTCCTTCTCCTCCTCTTCCCAACACCACCATCTCCTCCAACTTTCCTCCTCCTCCTCCTTCTCCCCCTCCCCTCCTCTTCCCAACACCACCATTCCTCCTACTTCCCTCCTCCTCCTCCTCCTCCTCCTCTTCCAACCCACCACCATCTTCACCAACTCCCCCCTCTCCCCCACCCCCCCCCTCCCCCCCCACCTCCCACCTCCCCCCTTCTTTTACAGCTTCCACCTCATTCCACTCTCGACAAACTTGCTGACAAAAAAACGCCGAGTTTTCTCTGAACTCAGTTTAATTTGTGCTTTCAAAAAGGGCTCCCATTACCCTAAGCGAAGATTGGAAGTAATTTTGCAACAGGTGTATACATATATGGGTGGAGGTAATTGCTTGTGTGTGTGCGTGTGGAGGTGTGGAGGCGTGAGGTGCGTGCGCGTGTATTCGTGTGCGTGCGTAGGAGGTGTTTGCGTTGTTTGTGGTTTGTGGAAGGGGTGCGTGTGTTTGTTTGTGTGTGATTGTGTTTTAAATATAATCTAGAGAAAAGTATGGATGTATGAATGTATATATAATACAAACACACATGCATGCACACACACACACACACACACACACACACACACACACACACACACAACACACACACACACACACACCACACAACACATACATATATATATATATATATATATATATATATATATATATATTATATATATACATATACATATATATACATATATATAATATATATATATATATATATATATATATATATATATATATAATATATATATATATATATATTATATATATTATATATATATATATATGAACCGTATTAATCTTGTCAAATGTAGAAAAGATATGAATGAGAATGAATATCTTCACTATGCTAGAGATGTATTGCGAAGATATTCATTCTCATTCACATGCATGTTTAGATTGATGAATATATGTTTATTTGAGTGCATATGCGTCCGTATAAACGAATATCCATTGGGTTGAGACTCGAGCAATTTTAACAAACCGGACGAATGAGGTCGACCTCGAGCAAGAAGTATGGAGAGCAGGCATCTTGCGACTGCGGGGATTAAAATTATTTGCCAAGAAGGTCGGAAACTAGTGCTTTGCCGCGGCTGTCAAATATATAAATATATGTATATCTATATCTATATTTATCTATCTATATACTGCATATATGTATGTGTGTGTGTTTGTGTATATGTGTGTGTATATGTACGTACATGAGTGCTTGCTTGCGTGCGTGCATAAGTCTTGTGTCTATGTGCGTATGTCTGTATCTGTGACCTCGTTAAACTTCATACAAACTCGAATTCCTTAAAAAAAAAAAAAAAAGAGAGAGAAAAAAAAAAAATTCAAACTAATGTCTAATTTTGAAAACTCACTCCCGTATTAGGTCGAGGAGGAGCTCACAGAGGGTCTGCAAGATCGAGCTTGACAGAAGTTTTATCCAATCCCATCCATTGTCGAGGGCGGCTTTGTCAGGGTCGTCAAAAGACCTTTTTTGGAAGGGGTGAGGGGGAGGGTGGGGTGGGGGGGGTCGTCGGCTTGAGTAAGATTGACAGACTTCCTTTTCTTGGAGGAAAATGTATCATGTCTTTAGGAGAGAGAGAGAGAGAGAGAGAGAAGAGAGAGAGAGAGAGAGAGAGAGAGAGAGAGAGAGAGAGAGAGAGAGAGAGAGAGAGAGAGAGAGAGAGAGAGAGAGAGAGAGAGAGAGAGAGAGAGAGAGAGAGACAGAAATGCAGGGTGACAGAGGGACAGAAAAACAGACACAGAGAGAAAGAATGATAGAGAGACAGACAGACAGAGAGAGAGAGAGAGAGTGAGAGAGGCAAAGAGACGTGTAGACATAAACTTTTCATCTAAGATGCAACTTCGACTTGCATTAAACTTCTACCCAACA